GGGTGATGCCCATCAGCACGTACTCCCCCCCGGCGCCTACCTGCAGGTGCCGCAGGGTCTTCAGCCTGGGCAAAACGCAGAGCAGCAAGGCCATCTGGGGGAAGTGCTCCTCAAGCATCATCTCCTCACCGTCATCGACGTGGTCATTCGTGATGGACAGCTTCTCCACGGGGGCTCCCGATGCGGCCAGGGCAAGGACGAGGTTTGCGCCGACGTCCGATGGGCGGGTGATCGCGGGCGTGTACTCCAGACTCACGTCGCGCAGGTGCTTGGCGAGGGTGAGGAGCTTCTTAGCCCTGGCGGAATCTGGCAGGTGCTCTCTTTCGGTTCTTATGTAGAGGTTCAAGACCCGGAGCGACGTGGAGGCTGCCACCACGGCCTCCTCCAGTCCAGGGAGACAGCAGCACCCCAGCTCCCTGAGGTTCGGCATGGTGGCCAGCAGGGGCGCCGTGGCGGTCAGGGTCATGCTGAGCGGACAGGGTCCGAGCTCGACACTCTCGAGGGTGGCGGCGTGCCTGGCCAGGATGAAGTTGACGTAGGGCTCCGAATCCGGGACCAGCACGCAATCGAAGCGCTTCAAGGACGGCGTCACTGCGGTGCTGTGCAGGACCGCGTCGGTTGTGGCCCGCAGGATAAACTCCAGGAGAGGGTGCGTCGCCAGCTCAACCCTTTGCAGGCCAGGCGTTGAGGCTATCGTCGCCAGCAGCTCGGAGACGTTCTCGTCCGTGCCGAAAATGACGTCGACGCACTCGAGCCGGCCGAGCGCCTCCTGCCTGCAGACGACCGCGGCGGCGTGAACGCAGCCGGTGACCGGCCCCACGATGAGCTTGAGCTCCCTCACGGCGCACCTGGTGGCGGCGTAGGCCATGTGGCACCTCTTCACCTGCGGGAGCAGCACGTACATCGTGGCGAGGCAGGGCGCGAGGCGCAGCACCGGACACACCAGGCGGTCGCCGGGCACCAGGACTCGGTGCTAGGTCTGTAAAGTTAGTGCCGCCCGTCCGGCCGTCCGTCCGGCCGTGAGCCGTTTCGTTAAAAAGTGTTGGTTAGACATCTAAATCGGGTATATTATGACGTGTCAGGTCATACACTATCGATTTGGTTAAATTAAAATGTCTGTACGACCTTTTGTTCTCGAGAAACAAGCGTTTGAATGCATGAAGAAAGTGAGGTTAGCCGAGGCCGCCGTGGATGTGCATTCAGAAAAAGGCTTGTTTCTCGAGAACCAAACGTCGTACAAACATTTTAATTTAACCAAATCGATAGTGCTTGAGTTCATACGTCATAAAATACCCGATTTAGATGTCTAACAAACACTTTTTAACGAAACGGCTCACGGCCGGACGGACGGCCGGACGGGCGGCACTAACTTTACAGACCTCCACACGCCCGGGAGCACGGCCAGCGCCCCCAGCCGCTTGCTCACGAGGCGGCAGGTCAAGAGGTCCTGCATGTCCACGAGCTGCAACACCATCACCAGGACGTTGTCTGACAGCGCGTCCATCATAGCTGCTCTGCGACAACAGAAAAGGGAGGAACTGCGGTGAGAAACGCCTTGGAGGGTGGAATGAGGCGCTCTGAGGCCACTGTTTTTGTGCCACCGCAGTAAACTAACTCGTCGATTGGCAATTAACTCTGTACAATCAGGCCATTTACGCTGTCCGTCGACACCTCCTAGAATTGTGGCAACCATAAGATTGTACATATTGTCAAACTCAAAGTACCGTCCATAAAAATGTAGCGCTTGTTCAGCATGGAAATGAACACTAATGTGATTAGATAAAGATTTCATGACATAGTACTTCTTTCAAGGGAAAATTAGGTGGTATTGTCAAATTAGGAAATAATGGTAGGCTGGTTAATAACTAATGAGATCAAGTACGAGACTCAATGAAAGTTTGGTGAGATTCCGTAATCAACCATATATGGCTACATTTACCCTCATGAGGGTGAGGCAACAAAATTAGGAAGCCATCAATTCCCCAAATGCAAGGCCACATAAGAAATAAATGGCCATCTTTTTGGAAATAAGTAAATGTGATACGGAATGTCTCATTCAGTGAACGAAAGAAACTAGGGTCAGTTTGGCAGTTGGTGTCAACTCAAATTGTTTTACTGCAGGTCCTCTGCATAGTCAACGGGCCTACCTTTCTTCCACAGTGACGGAGAATCCTGAAGTTGACGACCCGTGATGACCTTTCCGAAAGGTGTAGATAGAGGTAAAGAGGTCACCCTAACCTAAACCACAGTGGTAGGCTGCGAACGGTTGACGGTGGCTAAATGCAACACCAACAGTGCAGGAATAAAGATGAGCGAGGATCAGCCGGTCCGACAGATAACTGCGCTCCAGCCGGCCGCTGTGGTTGTTTGTTTCCTTATCGATTCTTAAGACGACAGAGCCTTCAACTTTGCACAGCACAGCACCAATCAGGCATCAGGCTGGTCTGTGATCAGACGATCAGACGGTGGCGAAGAGGGGGGGGGGGAGGGAGGGGGGCACAACCGCAGCGCCATCCATCGGCTGCCCAGGGAATAGCCGGAAAAGCATTGCATCCCCCATCTGTCTCTCTCTCTCTCTCTCTCCCTCACACACAGAGAAAGACAGCCAAGGCAAGAGGGAAGGTTATGTGCGTGCGAGCAGGTGTAATGTTTCGAAGATATACTCGCCCCCCCCCCCATCGAAATAAAAGCTCTCAAGCGAGGAATGTCGTAAACTATGGGATGTATGGACACGGTGCAAATGTTTCTCTGGGAGAGACAAGAAAATAAATTGTGAGGAAAAATTAAAAAATGTAATTTACAACTTTATTATCATTACCAAACAGAAACTTGCGGCAACAACCAGAGAGTGACGCAAATGAAAAATTTAACGAACATACAAACATTAAATGTATCAGAGAGGCAAATAGATCCAGCGCTCGCACGAGTCTGGAAGGTGGTCCTCGGGACATTCGGCCAGAGGGTCGTGGGAAAAAACGCAAGGGATGAACCAATAACGTTCGTTCTTCATTTCGTCGTGGCAGTCCAGCTCACATGCCTGGCAACGCTCGTCATCATTGCAGGCCACTTTCATGGGATCTAAAATGAGATGGAGAGAGGGATTCACCGACAGAACAGTTTTGACCGTGTCCCCGTGGATCCAAGCGTGAGCGCATATCCCCTTACCCAACCACACCTCAACTCTCTGCAAGGACGGTGCTACGTCAGGGTTGATGGCCAGCAGAAGCGCGTCTGGTTTACTTTCATTCTCATCTAACTTCAGACGCCGCAGCGCGGACAGCGACGGCAGCGCGCTAACCACCGGCTGAAGCAGGGGGAAGTTTTCTACGAGATCAAGAGTGTAGTTACTGATGCGCAGAGTCTCCACGCGGGACCTTCCGGACGAGGCCAGAGCAGAGACGAGTTCAGCGCCGACGTCGGCGAGGCTACGCACCGCGGGCTCGTACTCCAGCTTCACTTCGCGCAGCTGTTCGGCGCGCCGGAGGAGCTTGGCCACCCCCGCGACGGCCGGCCGGTAGAGGCTGTCGGTGTGGACGGTGAGGTCCAGGACGCCGAGTGACTTGCAGGCCGTCAGGGCCTCCATCCCGGGCAGACAGCAGCATGTCAGCTTGGTGAGGTTCGTGACGGCGGCCAGCAGGGGCGCAGTCGAGGTGAAGGTCAAGCTAGGCGAGGAGTTCCGCAGGTCAACCTCCTCGAGGGTGGCGGCGTGCTCGGACAGGATGAACCTCACAAACGGCTCCGTCAACGGAAAGAGGTTGCACCGGAACTTCCTCAGAGACGACGTCACCACGGCGCTGCCCAGAACGGCGGCGGGCGTGGTTGGCAGTGGGTCGTTCTCCTCTCCGACACACACCACGCGAAGCTTCTCTAGGCGAGGGGTCGACGCCAGCGTGCCAAGCAGCATGGGGACATCGGGCGCCGTCTTCGTGTCGATTTGAATGAAAACGCGCCTAAGACGCCCCAGTGCTTCCTGCCGGCAGATGATGGCTGCTGCGTGCGAAGTGTGTGCGGTTCCATCCACATTAATCCACAACCTGGACGCGGCGCACCTGGTCGAGGCGTAGGCCGATTGGCGACACCCCGCAGCGGGGAGGTTGACATTCAACTTGTAGAGGCACGGCGCCAGTCGCAGCACCGGACACACGCAACGAGGTTCGGAGTAACAGATGACACGATCTCGCCACACAGCCGGGAGCAGGGTCACGGCGGCCAGCCTCCTGCACACGAGGCGGCAGGCCAAGACGTCCGCGTCGTCCTCCAGCTCATCGAGCACCATCAGCAACACGTCATCAGGTAGCGTCTCCATGCTCTGCAAAAGACACGCTCGGGGTCAGTGAAGGCAACACTGTGACGGCAGCGGCGCTCTAGTCAGTGGTCAGCAGTCAGGCAACCGCGGGCAACACACGATCAGCTGCAGGAACCGGGTATAAATAGAGTAGACGTCGTCGGTGCGTGCGGGCTTGCACACGCGCAGGTCCCATCCAAGTGAGCAGTAGTGCATTATAGAATCGACGTCGACATCGTTTCAGCGTCGATTCGATATTGCATTTCTCACTGGGCATGGCACCGCACCGACGGCCGGGGAGAAAGGTACGCAAGCCCGCATGCACCCACGTATTTTCTACGACACTGCTATGTATTCTGCACAGTCGACACTCGCCCACCTTCGTAGATCGGCGATGAGCAGAGCTGAGAGGCGCGGACGTCAGAGCCGAGGAACACGGAGCCGACAGGTCCTACAGCGCAAGCACTGCACTGTAACTGTACGTACTCGCAAGCTCGTCCAAGTCGCAAGCCTCGGCTGGCACCTCTCGCTCGACTGACCTGACCTGACAAAGTGCAGTGACTCGGCTCCTCGGCTCGGGCTCGGCAGGCTCGGAAAGACCGACCGGACAAGGAGAGGGGGGGAGGGGGGGGGGCAAACGCCGCGCGCCCTTCCAAAGGGGAGGAACACAGGGGTCGCACTGCGCATAAGAGGCTGCTTAACGACCAGTTCTCGTTGCGTAGTATCCGGTTCGACAAGCTCGCCAACAGCGACCGCTCGCGAAAAATATCTGCTTCCCGTGTGTGTGTCTGAGACACGACCGGCAGAGAAACGGAGACGTGCGCTGTCTACGGGACATCGTGTCCTGGCTGGTGGTGTGGAGGAGTAATGAGAATGCAAGTGTTTCTGAGGAAGGCAGTCGGCCTTTAATTCCTTAAACGACATCGGAGAAAATTAATACAAGAACCAGAACTTGCCAAAAGAAAACAAAACAATTAAGCTGCAAACGGAAAAACAGATACATCATCGTTTAGTACACATTTTAGTAGAGGCAAATGGATCCAGAGCTCGTCGTCCTCAGAACATTCGTTTCAAGGGTCGTCAGAAAAACGCCAAGCAACCGAAACCAATCCCCCTCACAGTCAGTTCACCCTAGAAGTCCAATTGACATGCCTAGCAGAGCCTACCATCATCGTCGTCACCAACATCATAACATACTATTTTCATGGGATCTAGATTTACATGGAGTTAGGCGATTGACAGACAGGACGGTCTTCACGTCACGGTGTCGGCATAGAGCGGGGAGCGGCTTCTTTCTCGAACATTGCGAATGGCAACTGGCCGTCAGTAGTGTGGTCCAGTGAACACTTGGTCGCAGTGTCATGAGAGAACAACAAGAAGCAGGTTTCACCGTTGACTGCTATACGGTCCCTCAGCACGGTGTGGCAGCCCACGGAACAGGCTTCCGCGCAGGAGTTCTCGCCACAGTAAACGACCGTCGAGGCCTTGAACCTGATGTGCAGCGACGGGTTGGCCGGCACGGCGGTCTTCACCGCGTCCCCGTGGCACCAGGCGTGGGCGCAGACCCCGTCGGAGAGGGAGACGTCGACTTGCTCCAGGGCAGGCGCCGTGGTGGGGGTGATGGCCAGCAGCAGGAAGTCGGCCTGCGCGTCCACCTGCAGGCGCCGCAGGGCCCCCAGCCTGGGCAGCGCGCTCATGAGCGGGTACATCTGGGGGAAGTGGCCGCCGCCGCAGCCCTTGTTCGTGATGGCGAGCTTCTCCAAGGGGGACCCCGACGACGCGAGGGCCAGGACGATGTCCGCGCCCACGTCCGCGGTACTGCTGATGGCAGGCGCGTACTCGAGACGGACATCGCGCAGGTGCTTCGAGCGCAGGAGCAGCTTTGCGGCCTCCGCGGCATGAGGTCTGTTTTCAATCTCGGTCCTTATCGTGAGGTGCAAAACCTCGAGCAACTCGCAAGCTGCCACGGCACTCAGTCCGGGGAGGTTGCAGCACTCTAGTACCTTGAGGTTCGGCATGGCGGCCAGCAGGGACGCCGTGGTGGTCGAGGTCATGCTGTGGGCGCCGCCCTTCAAGACGACTCTTTCGAGGGTGGGGGCGTGCCCAGCAAGGATCTTGCTCGCGTAGGGCGTCAACCCCGGCAAAAGGTCGGATCGGAAGGCCCCCAGCGACGATGTGAGCACGGGAGTGCTCAGAACGGGTGCGGCTGTGATTGGCGGCGTCCAGTCCGCCAGGGCCAGGTTCTGCACGATGACTCTAAGGGATTTCAAGCGAGATGTCGACGCCAGCGTGCCCCACAGGGTGGGGACTTCGATTGCCCTCGGTATATGAATCCCAATGTGAATGCTTTCGAGCCGACCGAGCATCTCCTGCCTGCAGATCATCGCTGCGGCGTCCGAGGCTCCCGTAGCTCCTTTCCCTCCAACTTTTAACCGCAATTTCGCAACGGCACATCTGGTCGAGGCATACGCCCACTGGTAACGCTTCTCTGCGGAGAGCCTTACATACAACAACCTGAGGCGTGGCGCCAGACGCAGCACCAAAGAAACCAATGCGGGACTGTAGGCAGCAGATCCTCGGTGCAGGTTTTGGTGTCGCCACACGTCCGGCAGCATGGCAAGGCGCCCGAGCCGCTTGCACACGAGGCGGCAGGTGAACAGGTCCCGCACTTCCACGTGCTGCAACACCAGGACCAGAACGTTGTCCGGGAGCTGGTCCATGCTCTGCCATAAGGACACACACAAAAAAGAGGCACTACAGTCAGCGCGCGAGAGATAAGTGCATGGGGTAACGTTTTGAGCACTTGCATTGGGGATCGTCCAGAAAGTACGTCAGATTTTCTCAAGATTCATTCCGTAATGACGAGAGGTCAGCGCCTGCGAGACTCGTGGTAGGCCACCCCGCAGTACACGCATGCACTGCAAGCAATATGTTGCCTACCACCAGGCGCTACGACAGCTTGACACGGCTGAACTTCGCAGTTCCCGAACGGCGAGTGACGGACGTATGCTTTCTATATGACCCCATTGCAGATAGAAGTGTTTCTTTCGAACTGAATCTATGACATTAGCATTGCCCTCAGAATACATGCACAACCTTTAAAAGTATTATTTTTTCCCTTTTATGTGTCAATAAAGGTTGTTGCTAGTGCAACTAGACACAAAAAATAAAGTAATTACCCGAAAATTGCTTATTAAAAAGAAACTTGTACTTGTTACTAAAGGAAGCGAGGGGGATTTATGTGTGGTCATATCGCATTTATCCGCGCATTCATCACCCTGAAAAATATAGCACTGGATTGGCATGTAAATGAACAATAATATAAAATGATTTGAAAGCATACATTTCTTAAAGGAAAAGTAAGAAGTAGTTACTGTGTTGGGGTTGGGAAACAATTAAAAAGATTCATAGTAGCTGAATAAAACATTTGAGATCATACACCAGCTACATGATAAAGTTTAGTTAGACTCAGTGGACGACAAATTTGATTGCCTTGTCAATGACAACATCTGACTGAGGTGACAAAGAGGGAAAGTCTTAACAATCCAAAATGAGAGGCCACATAGAGAAAAGTAATGAGGTCATCTTTTCCGAGGAAGCAAATGCTACATGGTACGATACCTCAGCCAGTGAGCAAAATATGACAAGGGTCAGCTTGGCAGTTGGTGTCAACACTACTTGTTTTGTACAATCGACTGGCCTACCTTTGTTCCACAGTGACGGAGTCTTCTGAAGTTGTTGACCCGTGATGACTTTTATCCACGGTGTAAAGTAGTCGCCCTAACCTCAGCCGCCGCGCTCTGGCGATGGGCTGCGAACGCGTGTGACGTGGCCGAATGCAACACCACGGCAGCGCAGAAAGTGCGAGGAAGTGCAACTATTGCAAGCCGCCGGCCACGGTATGGCGTCTGTTTAAGACACATTGACTTTGCCTAGATCAAAAGTGGACGGGCCCGGTTAGCGACAGATGCTACAGATGGAGGAGACGAGACTGGCAGAAGACGAGTACGCGAGTGGCACGACAGCAGCGCCATCCAGCGGCAGTCCATGGAAAAGTAATGCACCCCCCCCCCTCTTTCTCGTGCTCATACACACACATACTCACACGACCGACGGAGCAAGTGAAGTGTGCGCGTGCGTATGTCCTCTCTACCGGGGCTCTCTACGATACGCCCCACCCCCATCCCCCTAGAAATAAATAACATCAGTCCGGCGATAAAATGTCGTGAGCCGAACGTGTAAGGTATGCGGAATACAAGTGTTTCTGGGTACGGCGAGGAAAGAGATTGTATGGAAGAAATTGACCTCTTATTTCACAGTATAACTATTACAACAACAAAACTGTACATGACATTTCAGAAAGGCAGATGGATCCAGAGTTCGGACGAGTCGCCAATGTGGTCCTCCGGACACTCGTCCAAAGGATCATGAGAGTAAACGGAAGGGAAGGACCAAGTACGACCGGCACGATCGACCCTCAGTTCGGCGTGGCAGTCTAGTTCGCATGCTTGGCAACGCTCGTCGTCTTTACAGACCCGTTCCAATACATCTAAAATTAGATGGAGAGAGGGATTCACCGACAGAACAGCCTTGACCGTGTCCCCGTGGATCCAGGCGTGACCGCAGCCGTCGAACACCCACACCTCAACTCTCTGCAGCGCCGGCGCCAGGTCGGGCCGGATGGCCAGCAGAAACGCGTCTCGTTGCGCTCCGTCGATCTCTAAACTCAAACATCGCAGCGCCGACAGCGACGGCAGCGCGCTGACCAACAGCTGAGGCAGGGGACAATCTCCGACATAGTCAGTATCATGGCGATAGTTATTGATGCGCAGAGTCTCCACGCGGGACCTTCCGGACGAGGCCAGAGCAGAGACGAGTTCCGCGCCGAAGTCGGCGAGGCTACGCACCGCGGGCGCGTACTCCAGGCTCACTTCGCGCAGCTGTTCGGCGCGCCGGAGGAGCTTGGCCACCCCCGCGACGGCCGGCTGGTTGAGACTCTCGGCGTGGACGGTGATCTCCAGGACCTCAAGTGACTTGCAGGCCGTCAGGGCCTCCATCCCGGGCAAACAGCAGCATGTCAGCTTGGTGAGGTTCGTCACGGCGGCCAGCAGGGGGGCAGCTGAAGTGCACGTCAAGCTGGACGCGGATCCCCCCAGGTCCACCTCCTCGAGGGTGGCGGCGTGCTGGGACAGGATGGACTTCACGAATCGCTCCGTCAACGGGACAAGGTTGCAATCGAATTCCCTTAGTGACGGCGTGACCACGAGGCCGCCCAGGATGGGAGCGGTCGTGCTTGTCCCTTCGGCTTCGGGGTTCAGATAAACGAAGAGCTTCTTTAAGTTAATTGTCGACGCCAACGTACCCAACAGCACAGTGACATCTGTCACCACCGTCGCTCTGATTTCAATGTCAACATCAATGAGCCGCCCGAGCGCTTCGTGCCTGCTGATGATCGCTGCAGCGTACACGGCCTGCCCGGCTCCGTCCACACGAAGCCGCAAGCTTTTCGCGGCGCACCTGGTCGTGGCGTAGGCCCACTGGCGGCACCCCTTTTCGGGGAGCTGGGCGTCTATGCTGTCGATGCAGGGCACCAGGCGCATCACAGGGCACACGCAGCGAGGGTCGGTGGACCCAAAATAAAAGTCCCGCCACACGGCCGGGTGCAGGGCCAGGGCGGCCAGCCTCTTGCACACGAGGCGGCAGGCCAGGATGTCTCTTGCATCCCCCAGCTCCTCCAGCACCATCAGCAACACTTCATCCGGAAGCATCTCCATGATCTGCAAAGACATGGACGAGGTCAGCACGAGGAACAATGTGACGGCAGCGGCGCCATTGTCAGAGGTCAGCCAGTCGGGTAACGCACGATCAGCTGTGTAAACCGGGTGTAAACAGAGGAGACATACGTGGACGTGAAACGTCAGAACTGAGGAACGTGGAGGGACGAGAGGTCCGGGATGTCCTGCCGTTCTCAGAGAGTCTCTGACTGCTCGCAGCGAATCGAAATGTCTCAGCACTGCACTGTGCGCCTTGGGCTGCTGGCACCTGTGGCTCGACTGATCTGATCTGACAGCGCAGCGCAGTCGTTGGCTCAACTGGGGTGGGGACCGGGTTGTTTGTAACAGCCCGACTGGCGAGGTTCGCGTATCGGGGATTTCCGACGCCGACGCCAAGGCCCGGTGCCATCTCCTCCCCCCCCC